GTGTCTCCTGACCATGAGTGACCTCTCGCTCTGATCTCGGGGAGCCTGGCCCCACTTACCAGTTGGCCTGGCTGTTACAGGCTGGGAAGAACTGGATGTTCAGCAATGCCAAGTCCCCACCACACTGTGAGCTGATGGCAGGCCACCTCCGCAACCGCATCACAGCCGACGGGGCACACTTTGAACTGCGCCTGCACCTCATCTACCTGATCAATGATGTGCTGCACCACTGGTGAGTACCTCCACCAGCACCAGGGCCCCAAAGCATCCACTTCCTCTCTCACTCCTCCTTGCCCTTGCCTGGCGGCTGCTCTGCAGCCACTAGTTTAGCTTGACTTGTCCCAGGATTAGGGGATCATTTGTCCAAAGACCTCAGGAGAGCATCTCAGAGCCTCACCTGCCTGTACGCCCTGGACTCTCCCTGGCCCCTGACCATTGTCATTCTGGTGTCCTGTCACCTCCACTCCTCCTCTTCTGTGGCAGTTCTGGTGTCTTGGCAGGCAGGCCCTGGGCTCCGCTGCCTCCTTGGCCACCTCCTCCTGGCTCTGCTGTGCTGTCGAGCCCTTGCTGAGGGCTGCCCTTCTCCAGCCCTGACCTGTCTACTGGAGTTTGAGGGGCCACTTTGGCTCACCCCTCCCTGCTCCACCCTAGCTCCTTCATGGCTCTGCCATTCCTGCTCTCCCCAGGGGCCCAGAGGTACGCACTCTGCGTAGCCACTTGGCTGAAGGTTAATGAAAGAAACTAGAAGTCTGGGCCACAGGCAGGTGCGGGAGGAAGCACGTTGCTAGTGAGACACTGTTTGCCTTTGGGCTTGGCGGTGCTGGCAGGCAGGAGGCCTTGGTTAGAGCAGGGAACACTGGTCCCGCCTCGTTCCCTACAGACCCGCATCTCTCCCATCTTCTGCTACATGCACAGCCTGGCTCGAGTCCCCTCCCCACCCCATCTCCTGTATGGCAGCCCCTCCCTGCATCACACCCTTATTTCTCTCCTGCTGGGACGTAAGTAGCCTCGGAACCTCCTTCGCCCCCATGCTCGCTCCTCCTTGCCACCCACCGTTAGAGTGCCACCGCAGAGACAGGCTTGTTTCTCACAGTTCTCTGGCGATGCGCTTTTTAGCTCTGCTCCATGTGGAAGCCAAGTGCTCCTCACCCTGTCTTCCCACTGGGGCTGCCCTCTATCCACCAACCTGGCTTCCCACCTGTCCTGGCCTTGGCCTGGCCTGGCTCCTCTTTGAGCTCCTCTGGTGAACTTGGCCTTGGGAGGGTGCCAGCTGCTCACCTTCTGCCATCATCCTTCTCAGGGGGCAGCACATGTCCCATCCTGCCTGGGTGCTCACTGGCCCTAAGGGGCCAGGCACTCATTCTGTCCTGGGAGGCCCAGCCCAAGCTGAAATTTCCTTGCCTGGACAAGGCCCTCGCCCCACGTGGCCATTTTGCCCTTTCTGCACTCAGGGCTCTCTTGGACTCACGTCTCCTCACCCTCACTGCCTCCTGGAAGAGAAGGGTTAGCTTACTGACGAGGGCACTAGGGTGAAAGACCTCGCTCCGATCAGCCCTAGGCTGCGTCCCTGATATGTCCCCTAAGACCACCTGATGGGGCTTGTGGGGAGCCTAGCCATCACCCTGGCCGGGTTGGGGTCCATTTCCCAAGAAGGCAGAGGGTGCTGTGGCTGGAGCCTTGATGGTAACGGGCGCGTGGCCGGGTCCCGCCCCAGGGCCCTGACGCGCGGAAGGTCTCTCCCTCACAGCCAGCGCAAGCAGGCCCGGGAGCTGCTGGCCGCCCTGCAGAAGGTTGTAGTGCCCATTTACTGCACCAGCTTCCTGGCTGTGGAGGAAGACAAACAGCAGAAGATTGCCCGGGTACGTGGGGCTGGCAGGCAGGCAGGCGGGAGGAACTGCCCTGGGCGGGCAGACACTCCTCTCCCCTGACACAGCCTCTCTCCTCTTCCTCTGCCTCTAGCTCCTGCAGCTCTGGGAAAAAAATGGCTACTTTGATGACTCGATCATTCAGCAGTTACAGAGCCCAGCCCTGGGACTTGGCCAGTACCAGGTAAGTGCCACCTATCTGCCCCCCCCGCATGCCACACGTCTGGAGCAGAATCAGAGCAGGTGCCTCAGAGGAGGTTGGAGGTCTAAGGATGGCACCTGCCCCCAATATGTTCCCAGAAGTCAGGGGGCCCAAGTCCCTCACCTGTGCTGAAATCTGCTGATGGGTAGGTGGTAATCACAGCCCCAGGTGACATTTCAACCCCACAGGCAGTTGTGCCTGGTGGATGGTGGTGAGCAGTGGGCACAGGTTCCACACAGCAGCCTCTCAGTGGCTTGTGTACCCTACCAGGTGTATACCATCCCACCTGGCCTTCTGGTGTACTGTGACCAGTTTGCCTAAGGAGTCACCACCAGGGACGTCCTTGGCCTGTGTGTTGGTCTTGGGTCACTGACGCATCCTGGGGGCGTGAAGCAGCACAGGTGCAGGTGGCGGCTGCACCTGTCCTTGGGTCTTTTAGCTTCCCCTTAGAGGAGGGCACAGAGGGGAGGACCAGGTCCCTTGATCTTTGTAGTAGTCCCAGGCTTGCTGCCTTGCTGCCCCATCTAAAACTGCTAGAATGTCCAGCTCGGGCCTCCACCTTTAGTCAAAAGGCCGTCATTCCTGCAGAGTCCAGTGTGAATGTCACACTGTTGACTGTTGCCCTCTGAGGTCCTAAGCATCCCCCTCCCCACTGGGGGAAGGTCATGCTCAGAAGGGCAACAAGGAAGGCACATTTCAGTGGTTTTCTAAATTTGAACTGCCTTTTTTTTTTTTTTTTAATGTTTAAATAAAAATGGAATCCTGTCGTGCCACAGCAGGTCTACAGCTCTTTTCCTCCTGGGGTATGGGTGGCATTGCACTCTTACTGAGCTGTCTCTATGCCCATATTTCTTGAGTTCTTCCCAAACCCTTAGAGGTAGACTCTGTTTCGTCCCATTTTACAAACAGGGCTCAAAGCCTGGTAGCAGATAAAGAGGCAGAGCCTTTAGTGTCAATGTAGCCATCCTGGGCATGGCTGTGGATGCTTCTTCCTGTTATCAGGAAGCTATTGGTGTATATCCTGGTCTCCAAGTCTTTGGCTGTACCACAGCCTGTGGTTGTCGGTGCCATGTTTTTATTGTTCCATGGGACAGCCACCTGCCTGCCTGCTCCAGGTATCCTGGGCTTTGCCGCTCTCCAGGTGTTTGTCCCTGGGTGACTCTAGAAAGTGTGGTAGCAGGTAGCACCTCCAAGGCTCTCATCCTTGGTGCGGGGCTCTCTCTCCCAGGCCACCCTCATCAGCGAGTACTCCTCGGTGGTGCAGCCCGTGCAGCTGGCCTTCCAGCAGCAGATCCAGACCCTCAAGACGCAGCATGAGGAGTTCGTCAACAGCCTGGCTCAGCAGCAGCAGCAGCAGCAGCAGCAGGTTCAAATGCCACAGATGGAAGCCGAAGTGAAGGCCACACCACCGCCGCCAGCTCCTCCCCCGGCCCCAGCGCCTGCCCCAGCCATCCCGCCAACCACCCAGCCTGGTAAGAGGCTCCCTCAACCCCTGCCTCATGAGACAGCCCAAGAGCCGGGTCCTCCTGAATGTGGCCAGAAAGCACCCTTCCCTTCCAGACACAGCTCCGCCTCTGCTGTCCTGAGCCCACTCCTGGGGCGAGCTTTGAATTTGTTTACAAGCTCAGAGCAGGTAGTACAGTTAAAAGTTCAACAGTCCTTTCCCTGTACATTGTCCCAGAGAACAGAAACTTTTTTACATATAACTAGACTGAATAGGGACACTGCAAGGATTAAAAACATAATCTAGGCTGGGGGTGTGACTTGGCGATAGTGCTCATGCTTAGCAAGCACAGGCACTGGGTTCCATCCCCAGCAAGACAAGCTAAATGTATCGTGATGTGTTAATATAATGTAATAAGTATATTATACATAACTTTTTAAAATTTTTATTAGTTGTTGATTAACATTTATGTATTTATATGTAGTGCCAAGAATCAAACCCAGTGCCTCACATATGCTAGGCAAGTGCTGTACCACTGAGCCACAATCCCAGGCCCTGGGATAAAAATATTTTTATGTATGTTTGTGTTTAGATGTAAATAACATACACATTAAATATACAGAAGTTTTATATACATATTACATGTGTAATTTAGAAGCACTTTTGAACAAAGATGTAGAAATATGAATAAAATCTGAAGTGAAATCCAACAGAGTACAGATTAGGATTAGGGCATCCCTAATCCAAAAATCTGAAATCCAGAATGCTCCAAAATCTGAAGCTTTTTAAGTGCTGACACAATATTCAAAATGTTTTGGATTTTGGCTTTTAGTACTGAGAATACTTGGCAGGTAAAGTCTTTGCAAATATTCCAAAATCTAGGGAACTCTGAAGTCTTGAGTCACTTTTGGTCCCAGGCATTTGGATGAGGGATACATAACCTGTATTTCAGCAAGCCTTGTGGCTGGGGTTGCGGGTCAGTGGTAGAGCGCTTGCCTAGCATGGTTGAGTCACTGTGTTCAATCCTTAGCACCACATTAAAAATAAATAAAATAAAGGTATTGTGGGAAAAAAATTTTTTTAAACAAAATAAAGGTATTGTGTCCATCTACAACTAAAAATATTTTTTAAATAAATAAGTAAAATGAGACCCCCATCTAAAATTGAATGAATAAGTCGTATCAAGTAGGGTCTGTCCCTGGAATATGAATGTGCTTACACTGGAAAATCTGATAAAATAATGGATTAGGACTGTCAAGTTACATATAGTGGTACACACTTGTAGTCTCAGCTATTCAGGAGGCTGAGGCATGAGGATTGCTTATGCCTGTGAGTTCAAGCCAGCCTGACAACATAGTGAGGCCCCATCTCAATAATGGAGTTAGGACTGGGAGTATAGGCCAGTGACAGAGTGTTTGCTTAGCAGCTGTGAGGAGGCCCTATGTTCCATCCCCAGCACCACCAAAAACGAAAACAAAAAACACTGATATTTTAACTAGACATAGAAATTTAATTTAAAAATCAATGATAAAAATTCTACAAGTTAAAATCAAGACAGCTGAGACAGTAAGATACGTATGCTGTAGAGAAGATGGTACGTCTCACGTGGGAGGTCAGAATCTCCCTCTCCCATCCCTTTCCTGGAAGAGGGAGGTGGTCATGGTCTCCAGTGGAATCATGAAGCAAGAATTGTCACCCCCAACCCTAGTTGGGCATCAGGGTCCAGTCAGGCAGCCTCCCTCTCACCAGTGCTTTCTCTGACCACTTCTTGCCTGGCTTTAGATGACAACAAACCTCCCATCCAAATGCCGGGCTCTTCAGAGTACGATGGCACAGGAGGGGTCCAGGATCCTGCAGCTGCCGGCCCCCGGGGCCCCGGACCTCATGACCAGATTCCGCCTAACAAGCCCCCTTGGTTTGATCAGCCCCACCCTGTTGCTCCTTGGGGCCAACAGCAGGTATTCCATAAAACTTTGGGGGGCAGGGTGGACACTTGGGGCCTGATGAGATGGCAGGCAAATGGACAGACTGCTGGTTGGTGGGCAGTTTGTGGCTCTGAGGAAGCTGGAGTGAGATTCTGGCTCAGCCCTGGCTAGGCCCCTTTTCTATCCCAGTCATCATCCGGGCCTCTCCATAATGTAGATCTCCTCTCCCGAGAGTGCTGGGAAGGAGCTACTCTAGCTGGTTTGATTCACGGAGCGTCAGCATTTGCATCCTGAAAGGAATAGGTAGTTTCCTGAAGAAAGAGACAGTCAGAGCCTCAGACTTCAGGAGTTTGTAGGTTGTTTTCTGGGGCTAACAGATTCCTTAGGGTTGGGAACCTTCAGGCCAGGACAAGGCAGCCTGGCACAGCATGACCAGGAAACGCCCTGCGTCCCGCTGGATCCAGCTGGACGGAGCATTTGAATGCAGCCCAGGCCTTCTCTGGATATCTGCTTTTTCCTCTCAGTGTGGCATGGCCTTCCCAGGTGAATGTGTGTCCACAGGGAGGACCTAAGGACGGCAAGGAAACAGCTCATAGCCTGAGCCCCCACCCTCAGCTTCAGGACCAAAGATTTAACTTCACAGAAAATAGGACATCTTCATAGACTGTTCCGTCCTCTGAGTGCTGGGGGAGCTTTGGGGGTGCCCCCTGAGTAGGGAGCAGCTCTCCGTCCTTTCTGTAGGTGGGAAATAGGCCCTTTGTCTGCAAACTAGATCAGGCTCACTGAGGCTCCGCCTTGACCCAGCAGTACACAAGTTCGTCCAAGGTTGGTGCCATGCATGGTGACATACGCCTGTTACATATGGTAGTACAGAATCTGAGGCAGGAGGATTGCAAGTTCAGCCTCAGCAACTTAGTGAGGCCCTAAACGATTTAGCGAGATCCTGTCTCAAAAGTAAAAAATAAAAAGGTCTGGGCATTTGGCTCAGTGGACAGTGCCCTGGCTCCATCCCTGGAAGACTGAAACAGAAATCAATGTAGGCTTGTCGTACCCACATGGAGTCTCACGCGTTTAGAAATAGTCTCTGCTATTTCTGTTGTTCATGTTGATGTTTTGGCTATTTATTTTTAAAAAATCTGGTTTTCTGCCTTCTCTTGAAAGATTAGGGGTTTGGCAGCCTGGCCAGCCTCATCTGTGTACATTTGCACCCCAGCCCCCATCAGAGTTTGTGATCCTGGCTTTAGGGCGCGGTCAGAGCACCACCAGGCGGTGCAGAGTCTGGAGCTGCTGCCTTCAAGCTGGAGAAGGCTGCCGTGTCAGCACAGGGCCCAGAGGCAGATCCTGGGATAGGTCTGAGGGCAGCAACCCCAGGTGATGGCCTTGGAGAGAAAGAGAAAGTGAAACAGGGAGGGGGTGTCATGAGGAACGTCCATCGTGGACACCTGGGGCCTGGCCATGCTGATACAGTCACTGTACCACCCCCTGAAGTGTGGGGAAGCTGGGGTTTGTCATAGCAGTGGCAGGGACAGGATGGTGGTCTTGCCTGTATGCGCAGTGGGCCTTGGTGGCCAGGAGCAGCCATGGGAATGAGATTGCAGGTATGGTGGTTGGGAGTCTGAGGGCCTGGGAGTGACGGTGTCTGCCCAGATGCAGCGGATCTGCCACCAGGCTTGGGCCGCAGCCTCCGGGCCTGAGGCGCCGCTGGATGAGGCCAGTGCTGCCAGTGTCTCCTGAGCACTCTGGGGCCTGACTTTGCGGGAGGCTCACCTCCGTGCTTTGCTTTACAGCCTCCTGAGCAACCCCCCTACCCACACCACCAGGGTGGGCCACCCCACTGCCCGCCCTGGAACAACAGCCACGAGGGCATGTGGGGTGAGCAGCGTGGGGACCCTGGTTGGAACGGCCAGCGTGACGCACCTTGGAACAGTCAGCCCGACCCCAACTGGAACAGCCAATTCGAGGGTCCCTGGAACAGTCAGCATGAGCAGCCGCCCTGGGGTGGGGGCCAGCGCGAGCCACCCTTCCGCATGCAGCGGCCACCCCACTTCCGTGGGCCCTTCCCGCCCCACCAGCAGCACCCACAGTTCAACCAGCCACCACACCCACACAACTTCAACCGCTTCCCACCCCGCTTCATGCAAGATGACTTCCCCCCACGCCATCCCTTTGAGCGGCCACCCTATCCTCACCGCTTCGATTACCCCCAGGGGGATTTCCCAGCCGGTAAGTGTGAGAATGCCTGGGAAACGCACCCCTGGCCTGCCCTAAGTGACAGCAATAGGCAGAGGGCCATAAGCTGACATGGAGCTCAGCCTGGGCCCTAGGGAGGTGGGAGAGGCAAAGACAGTCTTAGAAGTGTACCTACCTCCCTGGTGGCTGCAAATGTCTGATTTGCTCCTTGTCTTCGCCACCTTGAGTCCCTCCATGTGCCGGGCTGGCTGTTAGAGGTCTGAAGCCTGGGCCTGCTCTCACGTGTGCCTGGACTCACTGCAGTTTGCACAGGAGGATGTGAGGTTCCAAAAGGGAAGTAGCTCCTGGCTTTAGGGCAGAGAGTCGTCTTTTACTCAGTCTTTAGTTTCATTCATTTACTTGCTAAAAAAATTTTATTTCTACTAACTTCCATGTTTATTTGTTAAACCATCTGTGATGTTTGTTTATCTGTGGGGCACTCCCGTGTTCATGGCTCATGTTAGTTTCCCATGACTGCTCTAACAGGGACCCCGGGCTGAGCAGCGCCTGTGACAGATGTTGATTGTCCCTCAGTTTTGGATACCAGCAGTCTGAGGTCAAGGTGTTAGCGGGGCTGGTTTCTTCTGAGACCACTCCCAGGCCTGTAAATGGCATCTTCCCCTCAGTGTGAGCTTGTGTCCTGAAAACCTCCTCTTACAAGGACAGTAGTCATGTTGGGTTAGGGTCCACCCTGAAGACCTCCTGTTAGTAACTGCCTCTGTAACGGCCGAGCCTCCGCCTGGGGTGGAGATAGCCCTGGCTTCCATAACCAGCTGGGGCCACTCCCTGCCTCTCAGTACAGCCACTTTCTGGGTTAGGTCTGGGGTTAGGACTCCCGTATTCACAGTGTGGTGGGCCAGGCACAATTCAGCCCTGGATGTTGCTGTCTTAAGGTTTCGATGGCCTTGATATTTCCTTCCCTCAGCTGGGCCTCCTTGCCCCTTAGCTGGGAGGTCCTGACTTACTGGTACCTCTCAGCTACCAATAAGTCCTGACACAAAATTTCTTTTTTGCAGAGATGGGACCCCCCCACCACCACCCTGGCCACCGCATGCCTCATCCTGGGATCAATGAGCACCCACCCTGGGCTGGGCCTCAGCACCCTGACTTTGGCCCTCCCCCCCATGGCTTTAATGGGCAGCCCCCCCACATGCGAAGACAGGGCCCTCCCCATATCAACCATGATGACCCCAGCCTGGTCCCCAATGTGCCCTACTTCGATCTCCCTGCTGGGTTGATGGCCCCCCTCGTGAAGGTAAGACCTCGGGAGCCCTGGGCTGCCTTAGGTGGCAGCACCTGCTGTGTGGGCCCCTCTGCTTATCCCCCTGAAAATGGAGCACCCGGAACATGTTTTCCAGAAGGCTGCTAGACACCCTTCCCCGGCCCGTCCTTCCCCTTTCCCTCTCCTGCCTCGAAGAGGCGTGTGCCCGTGCTCCTGAGCAAGGCCACATCCACTCACTTCCTTCCCTTCCCTCTGCAAGGGGGCTTTGCCGCCACAGAGAACCATCTGGGCTATGTGTGAGGTGTGGGTCCTCCATTCTTTCCTCTTAGTCCCTGTGCTCAGAAGCCACCTGTCCAGGGGCTGATGCCAGAGGGATTTCTCAGGAGACACCTCTGCAAGCTGTCCTGGCGGGAGGGGTGGCTGGAGCGCAGGCTGAGGCACTGTGAGAAAGAGCCGGGCTGGGGCTCGGGCACAGCAGACATGGCTGCGAAGCGCTCAGCTGGGGGCAGTGCCAGGCTCTCTCCAGAGAATTCCCGGAAGCTGGGGTTGGGGCATAAAGCGGGTGACACACGGAGCACAGCTTGGACAGGATGGAGAGGAGCTGGCTGCAAGCCCGTTGGGAGCAGAGGGTAGCAGTCCACAGGTGGGGCACTTGGGGTCCAGATGTCTGGACAAACTGAGTGGTTTTGCATCATCTGAGGTGGCGGCCACATCACCTGACTTCTGAGGCAAGATCCCTGTGGCTGAGCCTCTGAGGGCAGGGTTTCCTGGGACTGGGTGAGGCCCTCTGTGCTGCTGTCACTCCCCTGCTATGCCCTGGGTGGCCTGGAGAGGGATTTGTGGACATGAGCAACAGCAGTGTCCTCCCTACAGCTGGAAGACCACGAGTACAAGCCTCTGGACCCTAAAGACATCCGCCTTCCGCCCCCCATGCCACCCAGCGAGAGGCTGCTGGCCGCCGTAGAGGCCTTTTACAGCCCTCCCTCCCACGACAGGCCCAGGAACAGGTACAGGCTCCGGAGAAGGGGCAGCGGGACAGGTGCTGGGAGGGACCCTGAGACACAGACGGGGAGCCTTTGTCCCCACCTCCTGGCCTGTCTTCCCCGTGAATTTATTGCATTTGAGGAACAGACTGAGAGCCAGGTCTTCTGTTCAGGTAAGAAGATACGGCAGTCTTCTTCTTTTTTTTTTTTTGGTGTTGGGGATGAAGCCCAGGGCCTTGCACATGCCCTGCCACAGAATCTACTCTGGTTCTATATGGCCATCTCTAAGTTAGAGAAGAGCACCATCCTGCATGAGATTGTCACAGGTGTGGCACAGACATGATGGCCCTCCACAAAGGGCTTCTTGAATCCATTCATTAGAATGGAAGTTCTCTCAGGTGTGACCTGGCTCACCCCGTGGGCAGACTGTCCCTGTGCAGTCACCACTCCATGCCCTGGTGGCCTCAGGCCCAGTCTTAGGGAGCTGGATAGCCTCGTGTCTGGCAGCAGCACCCACAGGCTCCTGTGCCTCCTGCAGGGAGGCCGCAGGGTGGAGGGGCGTGGGGCTGGGTCCAGCCAGGCTCAGGCCAAGCTTCCTGGAGGGGAAAGGGCAGCCCTGTTGGAATATCTGAGGTGCTTTGTACAGCATGCTCTTGGGGGCGTCTTGGGAACGAGGTGGGTAGGGCTGCGCCTTCCAGGGCTCCCTGGGGCAGGGGTCATCCAGATGACGTTTTCATAAGTCGACTATGGGAGGGGCGTCTGCAGTCACACGGGAAATGCCATGTCTTACAGCGAAGGCTGGGAGCAGAATGGCCTCTATGAGTTCTTCCGAGCAAAAATGCGGGCGCGGCGGCGGAAAGGCCAGGAGAAGAGGAACAGGTGAGAGCCCAGATGGCCGTGGGTCTGCCTGTCCTGCCGCCTGTCTGACAGGTGTTCGTGCGCCCGTCAGCATGCCTCCCTGGCCACAGGGGGTCACCAGTGAGCAGAGTGGACCCGGGGCTTCTGTGATCAGCAGTGGGATTGGGGAACAGCACTCGCTGGGTTCGAAGCTACGGACTCTTGGGGTCCCAGGCAGGCCAGGGCTCCTGGGGCTCCGCTCATCAGTCCTGTCCCCACAGTGGCCCCTCCAGGTCTCGGAGCAGATCCAAAAGCCGAGGGCGCTCTTCTTCACGCTCCAACTCGAGGTCCTCCAAGTCGTCAGGCTCCTACTCAAGGTCCAGGTCGCGCTCCTGCTCACGCTCCTACTCGCGCTCCAGATCCAGGTAGGCCTCGGCAGCTGCAGCACGCGGCTGCCCACACCGGAGTCCCTATAGCCTCTGACCCAGGGTGCTGTCCTCCGCAGGAGCCGCAGCAGGTCTCGCTCCTCAAGAAGCCGCTCGCGGTCCAGGTCACGCTCCAGGTCCAAGTCATATTCCCCGGGAAGGAGGCGCCGGTCAAGATCCAGGAGCCCCACCCCGCCGTAAGATCTCTGTCCTCACTGGGCCCTGCGGGGAGCACTGGGAGCATCTGGTATTTTGCTGTCATGGTGTAAACATTTGTCATTAGAAGACAGACAGGTGTCACAGGTGCTGACCCAGTGGCAGCAGCACCTCTGCTCTGCCCACCCCACAGCCACACACTTGATGAGGCTTGCACAGTAGTTGGACTCTATTTCTGACCACTTTGGAGGCTCGGTGTGACCTTGTGCCTTTGAAGCTAAGCAGGGACAGGGTCATCGTCTGAGGGAACCCCTTTATCAGGCAGATGAAGAGGATGAAGAACGGTAGAGACACGGAATATGTATGTGTCTACCTTATGATGGCAAGCAGTTACCTGAGCGACAAACTGTATATTCTAATATTTGTCATTCCAGTAAATTTGTCTATTTTTTGAACAATGTAACCCGTCTTAATTTTAGTTCTTCGGCTGGTCTGGGTTCTAACTCAGCGCCTCCTATACCTGACTCGAGGCTCGGAGAAGAGAACAAAGGCCATCAGATGCTGGTGAAGATGGGTAAGTGTCCTCGGACCCCAACCCTTGGCCACTTGGGGATCTAGGAGGTGACGGGGTTTTCTTGTCCTCTTTGAATGGGGAGAGAGGAGTCACAGGAAGTTGGGGCTTACTGCTAGGACTTCTGAAGTGGCCAGCCAGCAGGGCTGGTGCTGGGTCTTCTTTATTAGCCCCTTGTTCCGTGTAAATACTGCCTGCTCTTGTGTCACTCACCTCCCCGAAGGCAACCTCCCTTTTGACAACCCCACCACCACCACCTGTAGGCCTCCTGCAAGGACTCTGAACATGTGTCCCCCTCTCTCAGGCTGGAGTGGCTCTGGCGGCCTTGGTGTGAAAGAGCAGGGGATCCAGGACCCCATCAAGGGCGGGGACGTCCGGGATAAGTGGGACCAGTACAAGGGCGTGGGTGTGGCCCTGGACGACCCCTACGAGAACTACCGTCGGAATAAGAGCTACTCCTTCATCGCCCGCATGAAGGCCAGGGACGAGTGTAAGTAGGAGCCCAGGGCCGGGAGCGCGCCGGTGGCTGGCGGCGCTGGCTGGCGGGACCTTGCTGGCTTGCTGGCAGTGGAAGATCGTAGTGACAGCTCGGTTCTCACGCAGTCTCCACCTTTGGGGCACGCAAGGAAGAGAAGGAAGACTAACACGGGCCTAGTGAGGAGCGCCATGCACTGGCGTGGGAAGGGCTCAGGCGCCACCTGCACACCCCGGGAGGAGGTGCCACAGCACCACGGCCGTGAGCGCGTTTCCCTTTACAGCGAAGCAAGAAACCCAAGACCCTCCAGTCCCTGAATGAGAATTCTTCACGCCTGACGGAGTGGATGCTGCGCGTCTTCCCTGAGTCAGACCTAAGCCCCTTCCACAAGCAGCACTGTGGAGGGCAGGCCAGGCACCAGCAGGGGGCAGCTAGGGCAGCACCCACCCACTGCCCTTGTAGTGGCAAGCGAAGGCCAGGTGCTGTCACTGCTCAGTTTAAAACAGGAAAAGCAAAACCTCCTGGATTAGCAGAGTTCACCAGGGTTTTCATTTTGATTCCGATTGATTTAGGTTTAGAAAAAAATATTGATCTAAGACGGTCCCCAATAAGATCATTTTAAACCCCTCTCCTCTGAAGTGTCCTGGCCCCTAGTTCAGTTATTTTAGTTGTGTATGTTGGTTTTTCTTCCTCAAATGTTAGCCATTTGCTATTATCTGGAGAAAGAAAAGGTTCTAAGTAAACGACCTAAGGTGTCCTCAGGTCAGCGATGACACCCTGGGGGCATCTGTACATGTAGCCTCTCTGCTTGTGGTTGTCACTTAGGGGAACCCAACACCAGCACTTGCGTGCGAGGACCCATTTAGATTGAGTGTGGAGTGCCACCTCCCGATTGGTACCTCCTACTCTGTCATTTCATTTGCATACCCCCAGCCCACCCCCAAAGGGAGGTGGGGCCAGGAGGAGTGTCACCTCTGCCAGAAGCTGCCTGGATCCCCCACACCTGGATCCATCAGCAGCTTGGTGCGGTGCCATTTATTTGTAAAGAAGTACTTTTGAAAAATTCTTTTCAGTAAGATGTAGAGTTCCCCCCACAATTTTTCACCCCCATGTGGTAAATATCTGATTTTGTTCTAGAATTCCCGTAGCTGTGACTTGTTCAAATGTGTCTGATTCTGGATAAAACAAACTCGTGCTGTTAAAGATTTCTTGTGGATTTTACTGTTTTGCCTTCAAATAAAGCCTTTTTTTAAAGACCTTCTCCTCCGTGTGAAAGTGAGAAGCGCGGGTGGAGTGAGGGGCGTGTTCTGGATGAGGCCCGGTGGAGCTGGGGCCTTGGCGTCTTGTGAGGAGTTGTTCTCATGTCCTTGTTAGTGAACAGGAGTCCCGTCATCGGCTCCGTCTGCCTTGTGCCCACCAGGAAGCCAGCACTGGCCTGTGCTGCATCCCTACTGTCCTGTATCATGTCCTCATGCTGACGGGCAATTTCCTCAGCAGCGTGCTGAGCAGGTCTCTGAGCAGGGATTTACCTCCAGTGAATCCCGAGCCTTTACCCCAACACTGTGCTCCACCACGGATGTCACCTGGAAACTGGTGTGCGTGTGTTCCCAACTCAAGCCTCACCTGGTACTTACAGCTCCTCCTGCACCTCCCGCAGTGCGTCCTCCATGGTGAGCGGTGTGGGCCTGTGGCACCTGATATACTGTTGGGTAGGAGACAGATGGGGACACCATCAGCACTACCACCCCAAAACGCACCTAGAGGCTGCTGGGTGCTGGGAAGAGACGCGGCCATGGCGCCCACCCCCAACAGGGTCTAACAGGGCTGGTGGGGGAGGCCAGGTGGTTGGTCCTGGCACACAGGAGCGCCAGGCGCTGTGCAGACCGGGAGGTGCCGCAGGCTCTGGGCTGGAGAGGGAAGGGCAGCCTCAGAGCAGTCAAGGAGGAGGACCTGGGTGCCACGTTTAGGACACGGTCAGCAGGAGCTGTGGCAGACTGACACAGGTGACGTGGCCAGGTCGCCTCAGATGAGGGCTGGCTAATGCACGGCCAGCAGGGAGTGAGTTAAAGGGGCCCCAAGGGTGCCCTCAGCAATGTCCAGAATGAGCGCAGGTCAGATGACCTGTTTCCTTCCATGGATAACGGCAAGGGGGCGGATGGCCTGCAGAGTGGGTCCCCAGCCAGGTGGCTGCCTGCATCACAGGGCACTCGGGAGACACGCCCGTCCTGCCCCGAGTGGGCCCAGCAGCTGCTCTCACCCTGCAGGGATTCTGCTGCTCAGGTTAAGAACAGGCTCTAGAGAGACGCTTAAGAAAAAAGACACGGGACCATCTCGGTGTGTAGGCTTCAGTGCAGAGCAAGCGCTCAGCACGCGCCAGACACTGGGCTCCACCAGCACCAACAAGTAGATTAAGAAGTGAACTTAAAAGGGGGATAAAATGTGCAACTTTAACATGACAAGTGGAGATCTGAACACTGGGTCTTCCATCATACAGAGCAAATCCAGTTTTAGGGTTAGTGGCATTATGACTTTTTAAACTTTTGTTTGGAAACAATGTGCTGAAATATTTTGTATATAGAATGAATGAAAAACAGAACAGCACATACAGGATGAGTGAGGTGAGTGACACAAGAGCAGGCAGTATTCACACGGAACAAGGGGCTAATACTAAGAATACTTCACACTTTGCACAGAAAAAAATGGAAGTCTTTCACGTTGGCAATAGTTATCTTTGAGATTATGGAGGACGGTAAATCAATACCTCAATAGAATTTTATTTATTTTTTTAAATTTTGTTTAGTGGCAGTTGGACATATGCCTTTATTTTACTGTTATGCGGTGCTGAGGATCCAACCCGGCCTCCGCGTGCCAGGCGAGTGCTCTGCCGCTGAGCCAGCCGCAGCCCCCTAATGGAATTTTAATCAAACGAGCTCATATATTCTGGTTATCAGAAGGAAATTAAGCTTTTCAAGAGGAAAAAGGGAGGTGAGGGCGTTTCTCGAGCTGCAGCCCAAGGGACTGTGGAGGAAGCCCGATGCCTTCAGGAACCACCCTGGGCAGCACTCAGGGTCTGGGAAGAGGGCAGGGCCCCACAGGGCAGGTCCCCTTTGGTCTGAGGCCACACAGCCCCATTAGGGCTCGCCGTAAGACTCAGGCTCAGTCCCCCACACTGTATAATACATAGCTCATCACAGGACAAGGAGAGGTGACAGTGGCAGAAGGTGACAGCCCAACCACATCCCTCCAGCAGGGGGCTACACACCAGAACCTGAGGGACAGGTGCCCACGGGTATGTGGTGGGCCCTGGCCCCGCCCACTCCGCCCCGTCTCATTGCCGTCACCTCTTTGGCTTCCTCCAGGGAGTGGTAGTGGAACGAGTCCCCTTCCATGGACCGCAGGAGGGAGAGGTGCAGGTGGCGGCTGGCGGCGATGAACTGCTGCGTCAGGTTCAGCTGCTGCTTCAGCATGTCGTTGAGCGCCAGCACGGCAGGGCTGTAGGCTGTCAGGACTGCACCCCCTCCTTACTCAGCGGCTTTCCAGGGACCCCAGCCCTGCAGCCCCAACACTTGGCACTGTGGGGCTGCTCCTGAAGGGACCACTGCCTACTCCCGCCTCCATTCTGTTACACTGTGATATGTGTGTGGATGTCACACTTAAAGTTCATTAATATGAAAAAAAAAATATTAAGAGCTAGTCTCACTGTTGCCCAGTCTGGGCTCAAACTCCTGTGCTCACCTGACGCTCCTGCCTCAGCCTCCTGAATAGCTGGGACCAAGGTGTGTGCCACTGTGCCTAGCTAAAAACACATTTTCTGAAAATATAAATAAAAATTTTAAATTAAAAAATTGGGGCTAAGGCTGGGGCTGGGGCTCAGTGGTAGAGCACTTGCCTAGCATGTGTGAGGCCCTGGGTTCAATTCTCAGACCTGCATATAAATAAGTAAAATAAAGGACCATTGACAACTAAAAAATACTTTTTTAAAAATTGGGGCTGGGTTTGTAGCTCGGGTAGGACACTTGCTTAGCAAGTACAAGGCCCTGGGTTCCACCCCCAGCACCACAAAACAAAAAAACTGACATTTAACTAAAAATATTAAATCTGATAAAAAACAAAAATTCTGCTGTTTATTTAGTATTAAGACTGCTGAGCAGTGGCCCACGCCTGGAACGCCAGCAGCTCGGGAGGCTGGGGCGGGAGGACAGCAAACTCAAAGCCAGCCTCAGAACTCAGTGAGACCCTGTCTCTAAATAAAATATTTACAAAAGGGCTAGGGATGTGGCTCAGTGGTCCAGTGCCCCTGGGTTCAGTCCTTGTACCAAAAATATACGTGCGTGTGTGTGTGTGTGTGTGTGTGTGTGTGTGTGTAAAATCTCTGAGGCAGCAAGTTTCCCAAGGGCTGTGGCAGGTCTGAACTGGAAGGTGGCTTTTGGGGCACCTTCATCACCTCCAGGTGGCTAGCACTCTTCCCAGACCACAAGGACTCTCAGTCTCAGCCCAGGACGCAAAGGCCATGTCCTGTTGCTGTGACTCAGCACTGGCCAGTGTCTTTAGGGGATAAAACTAAATATGTGCAAAAAGCTCAAACAGAATTCAAATAAAAGCATCTGCTGGGGCAGAAGGGGTGAGATGGGGGGAATTATTGAGGGCGGGTGTTTTGATGGCACTGGGGATGGCACCCAGGGCCACGCACATGCTAGGCCAGTGTTCCTCCCCTGAGCCCACCCCAGCGCAGTGAATTGCCTTTAGGCCACCTGTTGGACATGGGTGTCCTTTTGCAGGTGACAGAAGGTTCGCAGACACCCTCAGGCTGCCATCGGGGATCCTACTAACCACTGAAATAATTCCACCAATGGATTCTTGAATGCAGCATTAAAGAAGTGAAACACTTCCAAGAGATGCGCCCACTCCCCAGGAAGGACCGCCACCGCCAACCAGGCTCCTACCTTCTATGGCATCGGCACTGACGACGTGGCTGGCAATGGGCACTGGGTCCACGTAGGAACTCCCGAGGGCAGGCCCAATGGCCGCCATCCCGGCCGCTGTCCCAAGCACAAAGAGGAAAGGGGTGAGTGACGAGACCTGGGATTGCAACCTTCTTGTCCCCAAGTAAGAACAGAAGTGTAGCCCACGCACCCGTCCTCCTCTCTCTGAACATGATGGCCACGTGCTTGCTTTTAGAATCTTTAAGTTTTTCCTAAACCTTTTTCGGTGGTTCAACAAAGGAGCCACTGGTTGGCGTGACCACTGCAGCTCATAGTGGCTGGAGGTGTCCATCATGCCAGCCTGTGTTCCACCAGGTGGTCTAGTGACTCAAGAATGTGTGCCCTGGACGCTGCCCAGCCAGCTTCCCAGAGACCGCCTTTCCTCTCTCCCCTCTCGCCATCAGGCCCAGCCCAGCAAAACAGTCCCCTGACTCTTCATAGTAGCATCTCAATTGCCACAAATATGGACAGAAATGCATGTGGTGCCCCCCACTGGCTATGTTATCAGACACTGGCTCGTGGACACGGCGGGGACACAAAAGTTCCTGAGTCCCGGACCCCAGGTTTAAAACATGTTTTCATGACTCAGGAGACTGAGGCAGGAAGACTGCAAGTTCAAGGCCAGCCTCAGCCACTTAGACCCTGTCAAAAAACCAAAAAGACTGGGGGCGCAGCTCAGGGATGAGCCAGTCTAAATGGTCATCTAGATCAGGAAAGGAAGCAGAATATTAAAAGGAAGGGAGGGGCCTTTCCACAGGAAGAGCCCAGCCTGAAACTGGGAATGAGAGAAGCGCCTAGAAAGTCACACTGGGTGAGGAGCAGTGTCCCTTCCCGACATTGTAAAGACAAAGTAGAAACGGCGAGAGCAGGAGGGAGCCGGCCACGAGGGTGCAGCCGAGAGCTGGCAGCACGGAGTTCAGGCAGCTAACCCTGAGCCGGCGCCCGGAGGCCCTCGGGGCGGAGGCAGATCCTCGAGGGACACAGGCTGGTGGGCACCCTTCCTCGCCGGGGCTTCCCCACTCCCTGGAGTAGGGCGTCGTGGGTGCTGGAGGAAGCTGAGCAGCACCCTGGCCTCCACCCAGCCCATGCCCGGAGCACTGTGTCCCCCAGTCCCAGCACCAGAACTGCCTCTAGTGTCACAACTGCCTAGTTAGGAAGGGCTGCGTGGTGTCTGGTTCTGGAACTTTCCTGTACGCCTCAGAGCTGGGGAGACACTGGAAACACCCAGGGCAGCTGCGCCTCATCTAGGAAAGAGGAGCGGGTGCCAAGCCCCCCCTGGAAGCTGGCTAATGACAAGAGCCAGATCCCAGCAACCCCGGCTCTCCACGTGCTTCCCGGGAAGCCAGAGATCACTCCCCAGCACCTGTCCTGGCCACCCAGGTCCCCAAAGGCCGCCACACTCACCCTTGGTCCACTGGTAGGTGAAGGCCGGATCCAGGGTCTGCACGGCCGTTTCCCTCACGGTGCCCCTCTCCACGCCCCGGCAGCCCTTCTTCCTAGCCCTGGGTGGTTTGGGGGGGTCTGTCCTCAGACTCCTCGAGCATTCCGACACTGTGGCCAGTGTTCCGTCCAGAGCTGCCTCGGAAGGAGCCGTTGGCTCGGAGGCCGGGGGACTCGGCGGGCTTTCAAAATCTTCCGAATAAGCCGAGCCCACGCTGTCCTCTGTGGGCGTCTCAGATGATGGCTTCGCGCTGGACACACTGTCCTGCTGGGCGGCAGAGGCCAGGCTGGCACTCAGAAGCTCTGAGACCTCACTTTCAGTGGGGAGGCCCTCGTCCCCAACCACAGAGGTGGCCTTTCCCTGAAATGCTGAGCTCCTGGGCAGGGCATGGCTCGGTGCGTCCAGTCCAGCAGGTGTCTTGTCGGGGCGGCTCCTGCCTGGCGTTCTCGCCCTCTGAGTGGCTCCTTCCTATAACGAAGGATGGCAGAAGTCACTGGAAAATGAGTGTTCTAAGGATACCACATTTGCGTGAGCAGGACACCTCAGCCATCCCCCTGGGAGGGTACACTGGTCCCCCTGGAGTTGGGGGGGGGGTGTCGAGGATGGAACCCTTGCCCAGGGGATGCGGAGGATGGAACCCAGGGCCTCGGCGTGCTGAGCACGACCATGGAGTGCACCCCACCCCAGGACCCCAGAGATGTTTAGCGCAGGGTTTTCTAAAGGGTGAGAGTCACAACCCTCATGACGTGGGACATGTTCAGGCGGCACACATGTGAAACATTAAGTGGCATCCTATGTATTATGGAGATGTGCAGGTGGTTACACGGAAGTCACCACGACCAGGACACACGTGGCTGCCTCAGCCTGGATGTGACTCTGGGTGCTCTGAAGGGGGTGGCTGTGATCACCTGCTCACCTGCTGGGCTTGTTACCGCCAACACCAGAGTCCCTGGACTGCAACAACCTGTCACCTGGGGCCAGAATGTTCTCTAGCGAGAACCATCCTGTGCTCTCCAAGACTCTGAGTACATCCCAGCATCCACCCCCCGCTCCCCAATCCTAACCACCAAAGTGTCCCCAGGTGTGCCAACGTGCCGCACGCAGGACCACTGGCCTAAATAAAACCTTCCAGCCTTTCTACAATCTAGAAGGACCAGTGGCCGGGGGCTGTGGCTCAGTGGTAGAGCAATCATCGAGCAATCCTGAGGCCCTGGGTTCCCTCCCCAGCACCACAAAAAACTAAAAAAATAAAATAAAATGACTCCAATGTACTTACTTTCTGTTCCAAGTCTGATCTCTCACTGACGGCCGGAGACAGATCATCAAGGGATAAAATATTGATTCTAAAATCTGTAATTTAAAAATTAGTAAGGCAGCGTTGACTCCTTCGTTTGCTCCACAAATGCTTAGGAAGACATGAAGACATTCAGTCCCTGACCTCGATTCGTAGCACAGGGTCAGCAGCTTTTCTCTAAGGGGTTACAGGGGAAATACTTCCAGTTTGGGGGCACACCTGTGACTGCAGTTGGCCCTCTGCATCTGCGGGTTCTGCAGCTTGGATTCCACGGAAGTCAGATCAAACGTATCTGGGGGATGCATTCATCCCACACATGTACTTTTTTCTTGTTATTAATCCTAAAACAATACAGTTGCTGGGTGCAGTGGCCCACACCTGTAACCCAGAGGCTCAGAAGGCTGAGGCAGGAGGATCGCGAGTTCAAAGCCAGCCTCAGCAACTTAGCAAAGCCCTAAGCAATTCAGCAAGACCCTGTCTCCAAATAAAAAATAGAAAGGGGGCTGGGGCTGGGGCTGGGGCTGAGTGGCAGAGCACTTGCCTAGCACGTGTGAGGCCCTGGGGTCAATCCTCAGCACCACTTAAAAATAAACAAACAAAATAAAGACATTCTGTCCATCCACAACTACAACAGAAAAATTAAAACCTGGCTCAATGGCTAAGCGCCCCTGGGTTCAATCCCTGACACCCCCCCACAAAAAAAAAAAAAAAAGAAAACAATGCACTGTATCAAGTATTTGCATAGCATTTACACTGTATCTAGGACCAAGTCCTCCCGAGGTGGCTTAGTGTGCAGGATGTGCAGAGGTTCCTCCCATCCTTCTGACAGAAGGGACTGGAATATCTGTAGGGTCCTGAACCAACCCTCTGCAGGTACCAAGGGACAACTCTACTCAGCCAGACGAGTGTGAAAGCAGTCACAGATTATGTGTCACCTAAGGGCATGGATCGTTCTGATAAACTTTTGTCTATAGAAACAGACAACGGGCTTCCAAGCCCCCAGTCTAGACAGAGCAGATGACATAAGGCACCTCAGGGAACTGGTGACAAAAATGCCATGGTGTGAGGGCTGGACAGCAAGGGGCAGCCTGGCAGTGGAGGGAGGGGCCCTCAGGCCCAGGTGAGATGTGGCCCGAAGTGCCTAAGTTCTCACCTGACAGCCAGTGAAAGGCCCAGGGAGACGCAGAGGGCAAGGGCTTGGCCACAGCCCCGGGCAAAGGCCCTGGCTCCAGCCCAGGGGTGGCAACCCCTCCTGACTCCCCCAGCAACGCCACTCAGGTGGGTACAAAGACCTGCGTCACCATGTTTTAGGAGACAAAGCCTGTGAACTAAGACCTCCTGGTGGTCAGGGGCAAAGGCAGCATCGGGTGTCTGAGACTTGCACTCTGGGACAGCAGTGGCACTGGGTGTCCATATGGTCACCAAAGCCGACTCTCACAGGCACCGCTGTGAGGCAGCACCAGCCGAGGGGCTTCTCGTGGACCATTTCACTGATGCCCCGTTTTACAGACGAGGAGACTGAGGCCCAAATAGCCTGAGATGGCATAGCTTGCTGGAGGGGAGGCTGGTCATCCACCCCTGGCATGCTGGACTCCAAATGTGGACTCACCGTCCCCCACTATGTCCCTCAAGGCTGCAGCTAAAGGACAGAAGGAGACACTTGGCCACCAGGGGAGACCGCCCCCAAAGGGAAAGAGCAGAATGACAGGTGGTAGGAAGCCAGGGCCTGGTATCAGTGCTGGCTCTCTCCACCAGCTTAGGCCCACCTTCTCATCTGTGAAGGTGACATGGGACAAGCTGAGGACCCCACTTACTACCCAGCCCCTCATGCTGGATTCCTCATGTGTACGACTAAGGATCAGAGTCAGGAACGTATATGCCAAGTGGCATCTGGCAGGAGGGGCCCTGCAGGGGCTCCAGGGAGTTTCCTCACATCCATGATGCCTCAGTGAACGTGTCCCCAAAACCCTGTGTTGGTGCCTAATGCCCAATGCAGCAGTGTTGGGAGCTGGTACTCAAGATGCAATCAGGTCCTAGCGACTCTGCCTTATCAATGTCTGTAGCTCAGGAGTAGGTTCATTATAAAAGTGAGTTCCGACCCTCTTTTTATTTTTTTGGTCCTGGGGATTGAGCCTAGGGGCACTTACCACTGAGCTATATCCTCAGCCCTTTTTTAAAATTTTTGAGACAGGGCCTAAGTTGCTGAGGCTGGCCTCAAACTCTCAATCCTCCTGCCTCAGCCTTCCAAGTGGCTGGGGTTATATGTGTGCACCACGGCTGCCACCCCCTCTTGTTTGCTGGCTCTCAGCCTCCCTTGGCCTTCCACCTTGGGATGCTGCAGAAAGAAGCAGCAAGACACCAGGCAGCCCCTGCATCTTGGACGTCCAGCCTCCAGAACCATAAGCCAGATGAACCCCCATTCTCTATAAATTACCCAGTCTGTGATCCTCTATTATAGCAGAAGAAAACTAAGACACACAGCCTTGAACATACCTGCTTTTCTGTGGCTGGGCAGGGCCACTTGGAAGGGACAGACCCTTGTTGGGGATGCTTCACCACTCACCCTAGCAGATCTTTGCTTGCCGAGTCGTGGGACTTTAACTTACCCACCACTTATTTATTTATTTATTTATTTTTTTTGAGACAGGCCCTACTAAGTTGCCCTGGCTGGCCTTGAACTCCCAGACTCAAGCCAGCCTCCTGCCTCAACCTCCTGCCTCAGCCTCCTAGATGGTGGAAACACAGGCCTGACTTGCCCATTAGTCTTGGACTGACTCCACTTATGGCCGTGCTGGTCCCTGGAGGGCAGGGAATATGTTTGTTGTTTGTTCTGTCCTTGCCAACATGACACCTGGCACCCTCTGCCACACATCGGGCACTTATGAGACAATTACTTAACTTTGATTTGGTGATAAAGCATCTCAGAGGGAAAAAATAAATGTTGACTTCAAAGCTTTTTTCCTCCTCTTCTGCTCTTAAGTATTTAAAATAATGTTGAATAATGTTGTAGTAACAAAAATGTTTACTTTGACTACTTAGAAATGTGTTTTCTTTTCTGAATTTAAAAAGGAGGCAGGGGTACATGTCTGTAATCCCAGTGACTCCGGAGGCTGAGGCAGGAGGATCCAGGTTTGAGTCCAGCCTCAGCAAGACCCTGTCTCAAAAACATACAAAGGGCTGGAGGGCCAGAGCTCAGTGACAAAAGAACTGAGCTGCCTTTTCGATGTTTGTGCCTCTAGAAGGGTCCCCCCAAGTTACTGCTTCATAATTGGGCAGGGTTATTGGGATGGGAAGGGCTGGACATCTGTGCACCCTCTAAATCTCTGCTGAAGACTTGAGCTCTACTGCAATGGTCCAGCTGTCCCTCAGAAGCTGTGGAGACTGGCTCCAGGACTCCTGCGGAAACCAAAATCTGGCTGATCAAGTCCCTTATAGAAAAGGGCCCAGTATTTGCACAGAACTCAAACACATGCTCCCATATACTTTAAATTGTCTCCAAAGCACTGGGAATGCTAACACACTGTGGATGCCCTGTAGACAGTTGTTATGATCTACTGTATAAGGAAAAGGGGGGAAAAGTCGCTGCATATTCAGTATAGAGGTCAATTTTTTCCCAAATAAATATTTCTGACCTGCGAAGTCTAAGGGGTATTGAGGGGCCAGGTGTCTGTGGAGGTGAGGTCCTTGGCAGGTAATGGGGTTTGGAGGAGGTCAGGAGAAAAGAACCCCAGAAGTGGGACTGGTGTCCTTAAAAGGGCAAGAAGAGACCAGAGAACTGGCTCTGCCCACCACGTGAGGGCCCAGCAAGAAGGGGCCATCCCTACACCCCGAGGCGCGCTGAGCCGGTCCAGGCTGGGACCCTGAACCCTCACGTGCGACCTCTTGTTGCTCAGTCACACAGTCTGCTATTCTGACCCAGCTGCCCGACAGACCGCGGCTGGGTTAAACAGACTTGGTTCAAGCGGGGAGGAGCCGGAAAGCTGCGGTGGGCGGCCCTGGCCCCGCCCTGCCGGGGGTGGGGGGCTCGTAGAGCCGGGGTTAGGGGTTACCGTTCAGGCTGTCATCGGAGGCTTCCCCGGGCCCAGGCTCGCTCCTCCCGCTCCTCCCGGAGGAAGACGCGAGCTGGATGTGACCCATCGTTGAAGACTTTGATCTTGAAACCGCGGCGTCGGGGATGGAAATCGAGGAGTCGCGGGAGGCTGTGTCGCGGGAGGCTGTGTCGCGGGCCGCCGGAGTCTGCGGGCAGCAGGTTCCCGACCGAGTACTGCGGAGGGCCCGGCGCGCTGACCCCCGGCGCGCTGACCGCGTGCTGGACAGGCCCAGGGTCTGGGAAGGCCCTGAGCTGGAGAGCTCCGCCCTGGACAGAGGGGCTCGGGGCGGGGCAGGGATCTGACCCTACTTTGGTGAAAGAAAAGACAAGAAATTAGCAAACTCTGATAAATTAACTCCTTCTATGCCACAAGGGTGAGCTGGTGGGAAGCACGACACCAGGACTTCAGCAATTCAGCGTTGACCTCTGCGCCCTCACAGCCCAGTCAAGGCACATTGAGATGAGGTAACGTGCGGATTAGAGAATGTGCCACAGGCAATCAAAAGGTCACTTCGCTTTCAAATACATACTGTTAATTACTCTTCTCTTTTTTTATTTTATTTTTTATTTTATTTTTTTTATTGGGACAGGGTCTCACTGTGTTGCCAGGCTGGCCTTGAACTCCCCAGTAGCTGGGACCACAGGCATGTGCCACCATATCCAGTGCACACATTTTCTAAACTAAGGTTCTTCCAGCCCCAAGAGTAGGTAGTCTCTGACAGCCCAGGATGCCAAAAGCACCAAAACCAGCGTGCAGATCCTCCCCGCTAAAGAAAACCTTTCTACCACATCTCACCACCCGCCGTGGTAATTAAAAAGGAAATAACAAATGTTGGCCAAGACCTGAAGGAATGCCGACACCCACACAGGGCCAACGGGGGCTAAGATGGTGCAGCGGCTGCCGTCTGGCAGGTCCTCAAAAATATTTAAACAGAATTACCGTATGGCCCAGCAATCCCCTCCTAGGTGTGCCGGTGGAAACAGGGACTCAGACACGGCCATTCACATGTTCACAGCAGTACCGTTCACGACAGCCCAAAGCCGGAAACAACCCAGGAGTCATTCAACAGACACAAGGGTAAAGAAACTGGTCCCCCTCTACAGTGGAATTCTCCCCCTCAGTGCCAGGGATGAGCTCGGGGCACTGCACCCTGAGCTACATCCCCAGCCCTTTTTAGTTTTTGAGACAGGATCTCACTAAGTTGCTTAGGGTCTCAATAAATTGCCCAGGCTGGCCTCAAACTTGTGATCCTCCTGCCTCAGCCTCCTGAGTAGCTGGGATTACAGGTGTGCGCCACGCCTAGCTCCCACCCAGTCTTTTAGCTTTAGATCTAATCTTTTTGTCTACTCAGGTTTCTGCGCAGTTGTCCATGTTTCAATCATGCTTGTGCAATAAAATCTCCATAAAACCCCAAGGGACAGGACGCAGAGAACTTGACGAAAGCTGAACACATGGAGGCCAACAGGAAGCTGAGCAAGAACTCGTCCACAGGCACCCCAACTCCACCTTCAGGACCCTTCCCGACCTCATATTTGTATCCTTTAAAATACCCTTTGCAGGAGATGTGGCTCAGTGGTAGAGCACTTGCCTTGTGCAAGGCCCTGGGGTCCATCCCCAGCACTGAAGGAAGGGAGGGAGGAAGGGAAAGAGAGGGGGAAAGAAAATATTCTTTATAATAAACCAATAATGTGTTTTCCCGAGTTCTGTGAGCCACTGTAGCAAGTTAAGCACAAAGAAGGGGCTCTGGGAACCCAAGTTTGTGGAAGTTCTAGAGGCACAAAATTGTCACCGATGTCTGAAGTGGGAGACAGTCTGGGGTGCAGAGCCCCCCAACCTGTGCAACCTGCCGCAACCTCCAGGTAAAACTGAACGGAACCAGAGGACAGCCCCGGGGTCTGCTGCAGAGGGGCTGCCTGGCGGCTGGCACGACCCAGGGCTGGGTGCGGCTCAGTGGTACTGCACGTGCTGAGCATGCCTGAGGCCCTGGCTCCAACCCCAGAAATGCAAAACAAGAGAAAGAGAGCGAGGCGGTCTGTGCCGTGGGAGGCCAGGAGGAGAAACGGAGTTTGATTTCCTCCACGTCCTCAGAGAACTGGTTACTGCTGCTGTTTGATGAGGGGCACAGAGTGAGAGCCGTCTGGAGCACAGCAGCACACGCCTGCGGACCCAAGCACCCGGGAGGCTGAGGCAGGACAACCGCCTGAGCCCAGGAGTTCAAGGCCCGCTGGGCAACACAGCAAGACGTCTCCAAAACAAAACCAAATAACCCAAAGTGCCGTGCTGTACACCAGGCAGACGCTGTGTCGCGAACACAGCGCAAAGTGTCCCAAGCGCCACCCCGCACCACGCATACCCTCAACAGATACTTGCAATTGGCCAAAACCCTACCCTTTCTCATCAAGCTCTTCTCTCAAATAGTTTCTGGTGACATCACTATAAAAGTCATGCTATGACATCATGGTAGCAGTGGATGGGACTCAAACAAACAAATGAAAACCTCACCGCCGATGGTTTCACGCGCTCCTTCTCACTGACGGTAGTGCTGGTGAACCTCTGATTTAGACTTGTTTCTTTTTCTCTAGAAGATTCCATCAAGCTTCCTAGCAATTCTTTCATTTCCTCTTCATCGCTGTCTGGGGCATCAAATTTTCTAGCAGGTTCTTTCTGTCTGGGTGTTTGAAGATTCCTCTCCTTCCCAGCGTGGGCCTCGGGGGCTGCGCTACCCACAGGTGGCTGTTTCTTCTTCAGGAACCTACTGGCCTGCCCACTCTGCACACTGCTCTTGGGAAGGGGGGCTTCACGGGCTTGTTTCTGGAAAGTTCTGTGGGTGTGCGGCGAGGCAGGGCCCGAGGTGGCTCCCGGGGCGAATCTGTCCACGCTCCCGGCAAGACCGTCCTCCAGGAGCCGCGAGTCAGACTCCATGTCAGACCAGCTCGTGGGCGCGCTCTGCCGACTCCGGATCTTGGTTTCCAGCTGGGCCAGCTTCATGAGCGCGGCGCTGGCTCGGATCTTGGAGGCGGTGGCGAGGGGTCTGCCCAGGGTCAGCCGGGCCCCACTGTCCAGGACAGCATTGTCTTGCAGGTTTAAGTGCTTCTCACCGATAGTTTGGTTTCTTTTTAGAAATCTGCTTTGACCGGAGGCTGCTTGGGTAAAACTTCTACTGACTTTCAAGTTTCTGAGGTCTTCCGTCCTTGAATCTTCTAAGGAGATGTCACTGAGGTCACTAAAAACACCGTGAGCAGGTGGGCTGGTTTTTCGTAAGAAAGCCATTCTAGGATGAAAGACAGACCACGGCTTGTAAGAACACCTCCCGTTTGTACCGTGTGTCCAGGGCTCCCCCCACCCCCGGCCACAGAGCACACCACCTGCTGAGGACTGGGTATGGTCTGTTCCCCACGAAACTAAGTTGAAATTGGACCCCACTGTGGTGGCATTGGGAGCAGGGGAATAGATCAGCGAGAGGGATTAATGGGGGCTGGGTGCAGCTCCGTGCTACAGCGCTTGCCTGGCATGTGAAGGGCGCTAGTTCCATCCCCAGCACCACACACACACACACGCACGCACGCACGCACGCACACACGCACACATTCATGCTGCTCAGGCAGGACTAGGTTCATCCCCTTGGACGTGGGTGGTGACAGAAAGAGCCCTACCCCTCATGCTTTGTCTCTTCTCCATGTACTCATTCTCTTCTGTTTTGTACCTTCTTAAAAAGTACCACAGGCCCTCATACAGGCAGCTGCCCAGCCTTGGATTCCCAGCCCCTGAACTGTGAGCTAAATAAATTTCTTTCCTCTACAGATTATCCAGGCTCAGGTATTTTGTTATAGCAACAGAAAACAGATGAATGCACCACCCACTGCTCTGCAGTCCCTTTAGTCTCCTCTTCAAGCCCACCAGTTTTCAACCATGGGGGCTCCTCTTTGATGACTGTATCTAATCCTAACTACCTCTGAACATCATAGTTGGAGACTAAGTCTCAATATTCAAAATACCTCACAATGGAGATTAAATTTCAACACATGAACCACTGGGGTACCCACTTGAACCACATCAAACCATAGCCGTATGTATCTGCTGCCCCGTTAGTAAAGAACTTTGCAACAGCAATCAAAATGAAAAGCACATGGGCGCTGGGACCTGCCAAGTCCACACATGGGAACGTACCTACAGTGGTGCTCTCCCAGCACAGAGATGCCCATTCAAGGAGACTCTGGCCACAGTGTTTGCATTCACCAAACCCAAACCCATCCATAGAGAACTGGTGAGGCCCAGTAAATAGCACACAGACCACGGAATACAGGAGGCAAAGAGAGACGAGGCACAGGAGCACGCCTCCTAGCCACAGGGACACTTCACAAGGACATGTGGTGTTAACTTTCACTAAAAAATGTTTCTTGATTCACCTTGACACCTGAAGAGGTCTTTTCTCCCATGCCTGTCTACTTAGAAATTGATCTTATTGTGATTGCCAGATTAAATACTGGACACCTAGTTAAAGTGGAATTTCAAGTAATTAATATTTTTTTAAAAAGAATGACATAGGGCTGGGGATGTGGCTCAAGTGGTAGTGCGCTTGCCTAGCATGTGTGAGGCACTGGGTTCAATTCTCAGCACCACATAAAAATAAAATAAAGATATTGTGTCCACCTAAAACTAAAAAAAATTATATATATATATATATATATTTTTTATAATATATAAATAATATATAAAAAGAATGACATAGCCATTCTTATGGTGACATATACCTATAATCTCAGCAACTCTGAAGGTTGAGGAAGGACCATCTCAAGTTCAAGTCTAACCCAGTCAACTCAATAAGATTCTGTCTTAAAATAAAAAAAAAATAATAATGGCAGCAGAATAGAATAGACATTATGACTGCTGTATGTATATAGGTGACTCTATGACCAGTGTGATTCTGCAATCTGTACAATCAGAAAAATGAGAAATTATAGTCCAATTGTTTCAAATGTATGAAAGCCAAGATCATTGTAATGTCATGTGTAGTTAATTAAAAAAAAATAATTCTGGGAATGTAGCTTAATGGTAGAGTACATTCCTACCTTTGCCAAGAACTTGAGTTTTATCCCCAACACTAGGGGAAAAAAGACCCAAATATTTTTATACTAAATATTATCTGAAATTGGAATTTAAGTGTGTGCCCTGTATTTTTGTTTGCTAAATCCAGCACGCTCATATCTTCTACACCTTTAAATAATATGCACAAGCATTTTATGTGTAGCAAAAAAGTGTTTAATCCAGCCCTTAAGATTTTGTTCAAGATGCCAAGCATGATGGCACATGCCTGTAATCCAGTGATTCAGGAGGACAAGACAGGAGGATTGCAAGTTTGAGGTCAGCCTTGGTGACTTAGTGAGATCCTGTCTCAAAATAAAAAGGATTGGGGGTATAGCTCAGTAGCAAAACATCCCTGGGCTCAATCCCCAGTTCCAGGAAAAAAAAAAAAAAAAAAACAGTCTGGGAAAACTAAGGACACCCTGCTTCAAAAAAATTAAAAGGGGAGCCGGTGTGGTGGCACATGCCTATAAACCCAACGACTTCGGAGGCTGAGGCAGGAGAATCGCAAGTTCCAGGCCACCCTCAGCAATTTAGCGAGGCCCTAAGCAGCTTAGGGAAGCCCTAAGCAGCTTAGGGAGACCCTGTCTCAAAATAAATAATTTTAAAAGGGCTGAGGATGTACCTCAGGGGTGAAGCGCCTTTGGGTTCAATCTCCAGTACTGGGGTGGGGGGCTATATACAGAGACAGAACCAATACGAAATGCTGATGAGGCTGTAAAGAAACCTGAATCTTCATAGTCTGGTGGTGGTGGTGGTGGGTTATAAAACGGTGCAGCCATCACTTTGGAAAAGTTTGGCATTTCCTCTGGGGGGTTAAACATGGAGTCACCATAAGATCCTGCAGTTCCACTCCCATGCAATTAAATGGTCATAAGAATTATTTGCAAGAGAGAGAAAGTGGGAAGAAGCCAAGTGCCCTTTCATGAGCAAGCGAAGGCCGGCCCGTGGCCCATGCAGAGTGAACACTCCTCGGCACCAGGAACAAGTGCCGCCCGAGGCCCGCGCTCGCCGGAGGAAAGCCGCTGGTCAGCAGCTGCCGGGGGTGAACGCCAGTGGCGGTGGACCGCCCAGGCCGGTGCGACTGGCACGGCACGTGAACGTGCCTGGTAAAGTTGCTGACAGCAAATGAACTAAACTTGGAAACACCGACGCCTCGGCCTATCCGCTCTTCCCGGCCTCGCGGCCATCCGCACCGGACCCCGCTCGGGGCTCGGGACCCAGGGCAGCCGCGCGCAGGGCCACCCTCCCGCCGCAGGCCCAGCCCAGTCGCGGATCGCACCCCATCTCCTCGCAGCCCCCCTCGCCAGCCGGGCGCCCACCCGTCGCCGTCCGCCCAGCCCCGCAGACCTACTTCCACGCCGGTTTATCGGTGGAACCCGGAGCCACACTCCAGCCAGGCGGTCCGGCCCCAGGGTACCGTTGCCCTGGCAACCGCGCCGGGCTGAAGAGACTACACTTCCCACAGGCCACCGCGCTCCCGCGAGCAGGGTGGCCCCGGGTCACAATCGCGGGGCATCATGGGAGTGGTAGTTCCAGTGCGTGTCCGGCGCACCCGGCCGCCGACGGCCAAGGTGCTTTCGGGTCACAATCGCGAGGTGTGACGGAAGATGTAGTTTTGAGGCGACGCGCCTGGCTCGCCGCAGAGACCGCTGGGAGGACAGGGGCGATCACGAGGAGGAGAGCCGCGCCTGCCCCATGGCACGCGCCCGCGTCCTGATCTGGGCGGTCTGCGCGCTGCGCCTGGCGCTGGCCACTGTCTACTTCCAGGAGGAATTTCTGGACGGAGGTGAAGAGGCAATGCCGGCGGTGGCGGGGCCGTGAGCTCCCCGGGGCCTGTCGGCGCGGGGTGGGCAGGGGCCGAGCCTGGAGGGCCGCTCTCCCTGCCCTGGACCCAGGTCCACACACTTCCCGCCCTCACTGGTGTTTCCTCCCACAGAGCGCTGGAGAAACCGATGGGTGCAGTCCACCAATGACTCCCAGTTTGGGCATTTTAGAGTGTCGTCGGGGAAGTTTTATGGTCACAAAGAGAAAGACAAAGGTTAGTGTAGAATCAGGAGAGAACAGAACCAAGCGTTAAACCCCATCGAGCGACCTTCCAAGGTGGACGTGGTGCAGAAATAACGCTCCTACACCCACTAAGCCACAAGTGGGCTTTTCCTCGCCTCCTTGCCTGTTTTTAAAATTCTTTTCATACTTGCCCTAGTCATCCAGCTTCATAAGCATTAGGTCAGTTTGGAGAGGAGGGCCTTGCCCACCCAGGGGATACTCCCCTTTTTTTTTTTTTCACCAGCGATTGAGCCCAGGGGCGCTTAACCAGTGAGCATATCCCCAGCCTTTTTTATTATTTTATTTAGAGACAGGGTCTGACTAAGTTGCTAAGTGCCTTGCTAAGTTGCTGAGTCTGACTTTAAACCCAAGATCTTCCTGCCTCAGCCTCCCGAGTCGCACTTCCTTTCACTTTGATTTTTCACGTTAAGAAAAAAAGTGGAGGTAAAAGTTGCCTGCTGTCAAGTGCTCACACCACAGGACTGCAGCACGGAGACTTTCAACATCTGTACATCCAGGTCAAGATCTGGAACATGTTTTCAGAACCCTACGGAAACTCCAGCGGTTAGGTTCTCGTGCCCAAGGAAACCTCTATTTTGGCTTTTCCTTTTCCTTTTCCAATTATTTTTATTTATTTTTTTTAATTTTGAGTCAGCCTCTTTAAATGGCCCAGGCTGGCCTCATACTTGTAATCTTCCTGCCTTAGCCTTTCCAGTAGCTAGAATTAACAGACGTGCACCACCACAGCTGGCTTATTTTGGCTTTTTCTCACATCTAATAGTCAAAGGTGGATGCACTACAGATGTTTTACCAACTCTTTTTGAATAGTCAATAGCTTTTACATTTTTTAGTTGGTAGGGCCAAAAACACAAAAAGGTAATAATACTTTCTAATTTGTAAAAATGATGTAAATTTTAATGGAATACTTGAAAGTTTGGCATCCCTAAAGTTTCACGAAAACACAGCCACATGGGTGTTTCCACACATAATAGCCCAGACATTGGATGATGAGTGCTTTACAACAGAGCCATATCCACTGCCCTTTTGATTTTTTATTTTGAGACAGGGTCTTGCTAAGTTCCTGAGGCTGGCTTCAAACTTGCTATTCTTCAGCTTTAGTCTCCTCTGAGTTGTTGGGATTACAGGCACACACCACCCTACTGACTCACACTAGCCATGTTAGTGCTCCAACATCAAAGTCAAATAGCTGGCTCAGAGATTGAGTAGCTCAGAAGGTCTAAAGTATGTCTTATCTGGACATACAGAAGATTTTTGCCAACTTCAGTTTTTGTTCTTGCAGTGGCAAGGATGGAACCCAGGGCCTTGCACATGCTGGGCAAGTGCTCTATTACTGACCCACCTCCCCAGGCCTCAACCACTGATTTAGATGTGGTTTCCCTCTTCACCACCTTCCCGGTCACCTCTGTGTTGGCCGTGTTAGCCTAGGGTACCCGTGAGTCCCACAACCTTTGGCTTTGGGTCATGTCTACGTTGTTTTGTAAGATACATGTTGACCCCAGCAGTCAATAAAAATGAGCTCTGTGCCAAAAGTGGGGTGATAATAAACAGGCTACTCCCTGAAACTTGCCGAAGGACAGGACTTCCCACTTGGAGTTGTTTGGGCTTCCCGACACACAGTGTTTTCTCTTCCTCCAGTTTGGATTCCTGAGATTCTGTGCAATATTTTCATTTCTTCAGCACAGTCTGATCCTTCCCTGTGGTCCCCTGAGACCAAGATTTAAAAGCATGAATAAAAAAGATGAGTCTAATTTAGTCAGAAATGGGAAGTGGTGACAGGATGGGGTGCTCGTGGAGGGTGACAAGACATAAGAGAGGTGGAGAACCACATGACTTTCAGATTTCCTTGCTTGTAGGGGGAGAGAAGGTGCCCTGACTCCTCTGAGGAGGGAAAGATAGAGAAAAGAGGTATGGTGGTGGACAGTCAGCCATGAGTTAAGACTTGGACCTATGAGTACCAAATACCAGGTTCATGGATGATCACACAGGGTGGGTCACAATAGGAATGGCCATCTTCAGGTTGTGCAATAAACTCCAATATAATAAAAGAATTTAGGGCCGGGCGTGGTGGCACACACCTGTAATCCCAGTGACTGTGGAGGCTGAGGCTGGAGGATCACAAGTTCAAGGCCAGTCTCAGCAACTTAGTAAGAACCTGTTTCAAAATAAAAAGGGCTGGGGATGTAACTTCATGGAAAAGTCCCCCTGAGTTCCATCCCTGATATCAGAAAAGACAGGGAAAAAAAAAATAAAAAAGGATTTAGGGGCTAAGGTGTAGCTCAGGGGTTGTAGAGCCCTTGCCTAGCGGCCCTGGATTCCAGTGCTCTGGGTTCCAGCCCTAGTGCTGCGTGTGCATATACACACACACAAAAAAATAATCCATGGGATAATGGTGGACAGTGGCATGTGCCTGTGATCACTGATACTTGCGGGGTGGAGACAGGAGGATCACAGCTGAGGATATAGCTCAGTAATAGTGCTCTTTCTTCACATGCATCCATCCCCATCCCCAAAGAGGAAGAAGAATGGTCAACTGGGCACAGTGGCACACTTGTAATTACACAGTGTTGGGATTACACGGTGTTGTAATCCCAACAGTTTGGGAGGCTGAGGCAGGAGGATCACATCAAAGCCAGCCTTAGCAAAAGCGAGGCACTTGGGGCTGGAGTTGTGGCTCAGAGATAGAGCGCTCATCTAGCACGTGAGAGGCCTTGGGTTCAATCCTCAACACCACATAAAAATTTTTAAAAAGGTATTAAAAAATTAAAGGTATTCCTGCAATCTGTACACGTGGAAAAATAAGATTTTGTACCCCATTTGAATCAAATGTACGATATGTCAAGATCATTGTAATGTTTTGAGCAACTAATAAAAAAAAATTAAAGGTATTGTATCCAACTACAACTAAAGTAAAATATTTTTTTAAAAAAGCAAGGCACTAAGCAACTCAATGAGACCCTGTCTCTAAATTAAATATGAAATAGGGCTGGGGATGTGGCTCAGTGGTTAAGTTCAATCCCTGGTACCAAAATAAATAAATAAAAAGAACAGTGTCTTCATGAAAAGAGCCACCTTGTGGGCTGGGGATCTAGCTCAGTTGGTAAAGTGCTTGCCTTGCATGCACAAGGCCCTGGGTTGGAGTGCTTCTTTCTGTTCTTCATTCAGCTGTTATCCAGGCTTCCTTGTGTATCCTTGCCCCTTAGAAGATGAGGGGGCAAAATTAACTATCCATGGTTAGATTGCATGTTTGTCATTTAGGGTTGAAGTTTTTCTGTAACTTAAAACAGTAGAGGTGGGGCTGGGGATGCAGCTCAGTGGCAGAGCCTGCTCAGTATGCACAGACCCTGGGTTTCATCCCCCCGAAATAAGTAAACAAATACCTTAACAATGATATATGAGGTACAAAAACATCTGGGTGCATAAAATATGAGTTTTGTGCAAGCTAGGGACCTATTAGTGATGTGTCCCCAGCATGCTGTGTCAGTACAGGTCATTATAGACAGCAGCTCCCTGTAAATAGAACATAGATTATCGCAGGTAGAGAAAGGGCATCTGTTAATGTCCATGCTTTACTGAGCACAATGTCATTCCTAATCCTTCACGAGTACTTTCTGTTGGAAGGTCTGCAGACCACTCAGAATGGCCGATTCTACGCCATCTCTGCACGCTTCAAACCGTTCAGCAATAAGGGGAAGACTCTAGTCATTCAGTACACCGTGAAACACGAGCAGAAGATGGACTGCGGCGGGGGCTACATTAAGATCTTTCCTGCAGACCTGGATCAGAAGAACCTCAATGGGAAATCACAGTACTATATTATGTTTGGTAAGTTGACATAGCAGAACACAACCATCTCTGCGGTTCAGACTTTGCTCACAGTGAATATATTTGACCCAAGGTGTTTTAGCACCAATACAGGAGGAGCATCCCTAATCGGAAAATCCAAAATGCTTTGAAGTCTAAAACATTTTGTTTGTGTTTTACGGAGAATGACACTCAGCACCAGGGTCTTACTGACCAGTGGGCTGCACACCCAGCCCCTTTTTTAAATTTTATTTTGAGAGAGGCTCTTACTAGATTGGCAGGCTGTCCTTGAGCTTGCGATCCTCCTGCCTTGGCCTCCTGAGTCCCTGGGATTACAGGTACCACCACACCTGGCGTGGGTTTCCTTTACTTTTGAATTTATCATGATCAGAATCAGGCTCTGACAGTTACGCTGTTCTTATATTTGCTATGATCTTAATGCTAATTAGAATCAGAGTCTTAGAAGTAGAAAGAGTATTGGCTGTTCTTTCTGTTTTATTGGATGTTAGGTGTAGGTTAATTCCTAGATATGGATAGAATACCGCCCCCAAGTCGTCTTAGAGAGCAGAGACTTCGCTGGCGTCACAGC